AGCCACTCAATGCAGGTGTGCTCCAGGTAGTTCTTTAGACGCACAGCAACAGTCCCGTCCTCCTCCCACTTCCTCTTGGTAACTTGCGCTGCTGCATCCACCGCGGTGAACGCCATCGTGTCCTTGTCAAAGGAGATGAAGTCCCTCCCGTCGTAGGCATTCTGATAAAAGCCCCTGGTGCTACCGTCCTCCAGGAGGTCACAGCCGTACATGCGCTGCCGCGTCTGAGCCCCTGAAACACAACCAGGGAGAGGGGGCTGAGGGGCTGCTGCAGACCTGGGCGTTCAGTGGAGCCCCTCTGGCTCTGAGATGGGTGCCCTGAGAACTACGGGGAGGGCAAAGGGCTGGGAGCCCCTCTGGTTCTGGGGGTCTCGACTGCCATGAGGGTGGGCAGGGCCAGGGGCTGCGAATGGGGTCCCAGGATGGGGTTTCTGGGCACACTGGGGGTGGGGAGGTGCTGGGCTGGGGTGGCCAGAAGCACCCCCTGGTTCAAGGACAGGGGATCCCAAGCACTGTGGGGCTGGGACAGGACAGCCAGGAACCCTTGGGCTGGGGGACAGGGTGGCTGGGAGTCCTGCGACAATGACATCAGGCAGGGAAGGGCTGGCACGAACTGGGGCAGGATCCTGGTGTGTGGAAACTCTCCTGCCCCTTTGGTTCCCGTTCCAGCCCCATGGAGCCCCAGCCCAGCCCACACTCACCTCCACTCTGGTTGTAGCGTCTCTGCACTGTGTCCAGGCTCACACGGTCAATCTGCTGATTGTGCTTTGCAATCTGGGTCTGTGTGTCCCAGTACTGGGTATCCATATTGCCATCCAGTCCACCTGCGGCTCCATCCTCTCTGTCTCGCTGTCGTAGTGCACAAAGGGGTTCCCATCCACATACCCCACTTCCATGAACTGTGGCACCCCTGGGCTGGGCTCTGACACCCCAACATCAAAATAGCGCAGAGAATGGAGCCCTGTAGGGACACGGTGTGGTGAGAGGTGGGGGGAGAATGGACTTTGGGTGCCCAAAGGGTGTAGGTACAATGGTGGGAAGTGAAGCTGGATGAAGGTCTCAGAGGAACAGATTGGCGTGTGGGTGGCAGTGTCAGGGGGGTGTGACCGTGGGAGGATGATGGGGAGTGAGGTGCGTCTGGGAGAGGGGTCCTGGTTACCGGGGAGCCTGGGGAGTCTCGGTGTTAAGGAAAGGGGCTGGGAGACCTGGGATGCCAGGGAAGGGGTTCAGGAGACTCCGGGGGGTCTCGATGTCAAGGAAAGCTGGCGCAGAGGAGGGTACAAAAGTCCAGAAAGGGGGTACGGGGTGGGGGTACGGAGGGGTTCTCGGCGTCCAGGAAAGGGGAGTCCAGAGCCCACAGGGGTTCTGGGAAGGGGGACG